TGATGTGGGTGATTATTACTGCCGCGCCGAGAACACGGTGGATTCCGTGGATGCTCCTGCACGCCTCGAAATACTCGGTGAGTTATTTTGTCGCTGAGCGTTGTTCGTTTCTTTTCTTTCTTTTTTTGGTTTGTTGCTGCCTTATTGTTTCAACTCGTTTTTTTTTTCTTTCTTACGTGTACGATTCTTTTCTGGGCGCCCTGCTTTAAATCACGTGGAGTCAGAGCAATTATTCGTTGTTGAATAATGTACCATGCATGTACAAGAAGACTCTGCACAACGATTTTTCTCTTTCTAACGAATTTTTTTTGTGTGTGGTCCAATAGGGCTCTCTGCCCATGTAATATGGGTTCCCTGCAACAGAATTCTCATTGCAAGGATTTTTTAATGCTTTTTTTTCAAAATTCGTGGATCTTCAAAAATTTATTGGAAAATTTCGAAATGGAAAATTAACTTCGCAAGGATTTTTTTAAAATATATATATATATTTTTTTTTAATTCAGGGGACTTCACAAATTTGTTGGTGAATTTTCTTGTAGAGAACCCATATAACATGGGTAGAGAACCCTATTGGACACGAAAAAAGTTGCTGGACAGAGAACACTAATTGTTAGAGTGATTTTTTTTCTTCAAAATGCATACAATACATCATGTACGGAGACCATGCAAAATTCGTTGTGGGGAGAATTCCGTTGTAAAGCACGATAATAAGGGGACCAGAAAAATCTTTTGGGGAGAATTCACTACCTACGTTATGTGAATAAAAAAAAAACAGGTAGACTCTTTCTACGCGGATCTTCTCAACAAGTTTCTCTGTTTAGTTATTTCTTTCTGGTCCCATAGGCATCGAGTTCTCTACCCATGTTGTAGGGGAACTGTTCTAGGGGGCTAGAAAAAAACCGTTGTAGTGAGAGTCTACCTGTGTAGACCGTTTTGTGCACATGCCACATCCAGATTTTGAGTAGCCAGCATTTTAGGGAGGAAAATTTGTGCGACCTATTTTTTTTTCTTTAAATTTGTGGACCTTACAATAGGACTTTCTCTTCCAAAAGTTCATATTTTTTCAAGGGACCAGAAAACAATTCTTTCTAGAGAGGATTTATTAAAAAAAAACGCCTATAACATGGGGAGAGAACCCTCTGTATATGGGACCAACAACATTTTTTATAAAGAGGAAATTTTTGTAGACAAGATCGTTGCAGAGAATCCACCTGTATAAAAATGAAAAAAAAATTTCTGACGAAGGTTTCCCGGACGTGAAGAAAATAAGGAATTTTCAGTCACGTATGATTGAAACCCCAGGGAAATTTTGCTGTTCGTATTGGGGGAATTATCCATTATAAAACGTATACTGTATTTAGTTTTTATTGATAGATATCGCATTATCTCAAGTACTTTCAAATTTTGTGATTGCCAGTTTTACCTTTGATCCTCGGATTGAAGAAAGATGTCGTAGAAGGTTTCCTTCTTAGTTCTTGAGTTTCAGTGGATATAGAATATCTTGAGATAAGCCTGGTCATCGTAGATACCGGTGAAGTGTAACCGGATAGATCAGCACATAAAAAGAAGTACAAATGTGCGTAACAAGAACAAACTCTCAAAACTTTTAGGTATATAACGCCTATATTACAAAATCAATGAATAAACTGTTTATGACATGTGAAAAAGACCGGGCTTAGATTTAAATACAGCATTGTCATAATTCCATGGTTTTTTTTAACATGCCCTAATTTTTCCAGTAGTGTACGTGCGGATGTAAAGTAAATACATTTACGATGCTCAGGGGACCAATAATACGATGAAACCTTTATATGGGCTAATTAATGGCTAAATTCTTTAAAATAATTAACTAAATTAAGGATGACATACTTAATTGCACAATAGACGCCCTACGTAAAAAATTTTTCATTTCGAAGTACTGTACTGTACTAGTCTACTATATGAACGTTTTATGAATCCTACTGAAAGGAGGGAGTTGGACTTAAATTATCGGTAGATAACGGGCCGAGTTCATTAACCTTATTGCATGTAGCAATAATGAAGATTCATATTTTATAATTCGTTAGGCGGGAGTCTGTAATTTCCCCGATGTCCCTAGTTATTAATAATAATAATAATAATGATTAATAACCTTATTACATGTAGCAATAATGAAGATTCCTATTTTATATTTCGTTAGGCGGGAGTCTGTAATTTCCCCGATGTCCCGAATCATTAATAATAATCCTTATTACTGTATTCGGTTTTCTCCTACAATTATCCAACTCTTCCTTATGTTTAATTGATGCAGCGTAGACTGTGTTCTGCTTTATGAGGTTTAATCGCTCGATTTTGAGGTGACTCCTACATATGCGTTGCGTCGGGAATCTAACGTACAAGTACTGTAGCACAGTACCAGAATGTGTTGATGTAATTCTATGTTCCATGTACGGTTTAATTTCAGCATTTCGGTTCTGCTTATACAGTAATACAATAGCGGGCCGTTAAGGTGGAAGAAAGTCATTACATGTACTGTA